TAGAGGGTGTGAGTGCACTCAGCATGTCAGAGTAGAGCAGCCCAGGTACCTCCAGTGGTTACACCAGTGACAGCCTCAGCTCTGTCACAACAAAGAGGATGAAGATGAGGGTGAGGAGGGCACAGATGAGCAGTACCGTCAGATCTGCAACATGTATATCCTTGTACAGTATGTTGAACATTGGCCAGATGGCTGTAAAGGTAGAGGCCCTCCCTGAGGGTCTTTTGAGTCCTGCAGTCACATTCGAGTTTGGCAAGACCTGGTATCTCTCCCAGCTGAATCTATCAATCAGATTGGCAATCACTGCAACCCAAAGCTTTATGATAAAGGTGACCCCTCAGAGAAGCCGGAGCTCCGGCTGTACCCTTGTCATGTATACATGAACGACCACATCAGTGCAGGCACATGGCACTTGGTCTGGCTGCGGCGGCTCCTGGCTTCCTTCTTTGACTGGAACACACTGGCCAACAGCTGTGGCACCAGCATCTGTTCTTCCACCAATGACCCCAGACGCAAGCCACTGGACAGTTGTGTCTTCCACTCTGCCATGTTCTACCGCCAGAGCATCGCCCCAACCTCAGGACAGCGAGATGAACTCCATCACAGCTGATGTGTGCACCAATTCTTGCTGAGTGGTACCTAAAAGCTGGCTGCCCGAGACCAAGCTGCTGCACCTGGTGGAGCGTGATAACTACAGCAGCTTCATCAGCACCACTGACAAGATCGAACCAGACATGAAGAGCATGGAACACAGCTTCAAGACAGCCAGCCACAATGGTGAGGCCGGCCCTTCAGCTGAGGTTCTCCAGTAGCATACATGTGACACCCCCTTACCGGACGTCACACTCCCGATCCTATCACACATGTCCACCTATCACCTACCTGGTCACAATCTACTGCCCATCCCTCCCCAGGGTCTGTGAGGGGGTGTTCCATGCCCTCTATCCAGATGCAAAGCTGGCTGACCACGGCCAAGCTGTTGTACCTTGAAGAGGGCAGTGCCTACAGCACCTTTCTAAATGACCGTGAGGAAGAGCAGAACTTGGTAGGCAGAGAATACAGCTTCCACATAGCCTCCCTCTTCAGCGGAGGTCCTCTGGTACCTGCCCAGGACCCTCCCATGGATGTCATACTCCCTCTTGTCACACACATACCCCCTCCACCTTAGTCACGAGCTACTGTCTGTCCCTCCCCAGAGCCTGCAGGTGTGCTGCATGCTCCAAGCCCCTCTGCCTCCCTGTCATCTCACACCTTTCCCCCAAAGCAAGCTTGGCTGGGTCGAGAGAGGACAGGCATTAGGTGGGATCTGTGACCTTCCCCAACACTCATGGGGAGCCCTGGTTCCCTTCCTCTTAGGCATTTCCCAGTACCAGGCCTGGCTAGGGGACAGGCAGGACTCAAGAAGAGCCTGCCCCTCACTGTGGCTGCTTGGGACTCCACAGGCCCAGGGGTTCTCTGGACCCCTCCCACCATCCCCCAGTGCTTCCATGTCTTCAAAAGTGCCTTCCTGTCTGTTTCATCTGTCCCTGCACTGTGGGGCTGGGGTAGGTGAGGCCAAGAGGGACTGTCCACTTTATAAACAGAGGAAACAAGCCCACAAGGCTTAGAGAAGCTCTAGAACTGACCCTCTGTGACAGCTTCCATCACATTCCAAGAGAGTAGTGCTCCTGTGGGCAGGTGAGGCTCTCAGGACAGGTTTGCAGAGTGGCAGAATTTGTGTGTTTGTGTGTGTGTGTGTGTGTGTGTGTGTGTGTGTGTGTGTAGGGAGGGTGGAGAGTGATATGCCTGTGTAGAGTGCCTGTGTAGAGTGTTTGCTTTTAAGAACATGAAGAACAAGAGGTAGCAAGACTAGGGCTGGAACCATTGCAGCAGGCTGGGAGGCTGGTGCCCTTCTTCCGTCTGACCCAGGGTAGGGCTCCCAGCCCCCCACTTCCTGTATATAACTTTCTGAAACTTTTTTTAAAGCGAATGAAATATTTAAGTATAAGGAAAAAAATGAAAATGAAAGTCAAGCACCAAGACTCCAGTGAACTAGCTCCTCAAAGTCACACAGGAAAGACTGGGAGTCAGGATTAAAGGGCAGGGGTGTAAGAGCGAATGCTTGCTCTGAGCAAGGCCATCATGGTTCATGCTGTCTGAGGCATAAAACACAGGTGCAAGCAGTGTGCCGGGAGGCAGAGCTAGGCCAGCCTCTCTGAGGGATCTCGAGCCTATGGGATTTGATTCCACCAAAGAGTGTCATGTAACATAAGGTGGTATCCTCTGCCCACCCACTCCCAACATAAAATGGCACATACGTGTGTGTCTGTGTGTCTGTGTGCACATGTGCGCGCACACACATGCGCGTGTCTAACTGCAGGCTTTTCACAACCCCTCAGTCCAGTCTTCCAAAGCTACTGCTTTACCCTCTAGTGCTTTAGTTTTTTTTAAATCACAACTCCATGGCTGACTAGAAAGCAGCTCTTGGATTAACGACATTGTTCTGAAATGAGATCATTGGTCTTTTTCTTCTAAAGTATTTATGTTATAATCACTTCAATCGTTTCTAGATTAAGCATCCTCACTAGCTGTGTGGATGGTCTCTACTCTCTGAAGACAGATGAGCTTTTGCAAAGAACTCATTCTTTCAGAAAGTCATTCAGAGGCCAAAGCTCTGTGGTAGTGACTGCTTAGCATGCACACACCCCAGATTTGATCTCTAACACCAGAAAACAAACAGCACACAGACGAGCAAAAATGATGCGTAGCCAAAAGATGGAAACATCCCAATAGTCAACAGGAAAACACCCCAAAAATGTGGCTTATACATACAATGAAATACTATATCCTAAAGAGAATAAACATGTGATTCACACCTCAACATGGAGAGACCTTGACAGCATCCCACTGCCTAACAGGAGCTAGTCAGAAGGCTCAACATTGCATGGCCACACTCCTGCAGCACCTACAGTGGCCACCTCTTAGGGAGCAAGCAGTTTACTGAGAGCTTGAAGAACAGCACTGCTGAGTGGGGACTCTATACTTTATGGGCACAGAGGTTCTGTTTGGGGTGACAAAAAAATCATTTGGTAATGAATGCTATGATTGCAAGAGACGCCATTTTACACAGAAAATGCCCATGTTATATGTATGAGGTGAAAAAGGGAGTCCAGCTCTCCAGGGGAGAATCTGGAATTCTACCAGGTTTCCCAGAATCCACCATTGAGGCAGAACTTCCCCCTGTGACTAAGATGACTTCAAAGCCAATGGAAAGCAGGCTCTTCCCAAGCCCTGGCAGAGAACACCCCTGAAAGCAGTATCACTCCAGACTGTGGGCATCATAACTATTTTTGTTTATTCAGGAAGACAGGGAGCCTTGAGCTGGGCGAGATGGGCAGTTCCACAGGCTTTAAGAGCGTCTCATCAGTCAGAGACTGAACAATCCTGTGGCATCCTTCATGCTATAGTTTATGACCATGAATAGTAGTTATTTCTGAATTGGAGCTATACATTCACCAGGTATTTCTGGCAAAGAGGCAATCTTCTCCAAACAAGGGACTGTGGGGAGGAGGACAGGCTATATCTGGGCACTTCCTCATTTCTACACTGAGTGTAAAGGAAAGTATGTGCTTGACCACACTGTGCCATCATAAGTAGGTTTTCTTAAGTAGTTTTGAAAACGTACTTATTTTCATGACCTTTGAAACGATTCTTGCTAATAATATAAATATATATAATATATTACATATATTATATATACTATATAATATATAAATAGTATATATAGTATAAATTATATATAGTATTCATAATATATAATGTATATAATATATATACACATATATGGTATATATATCATATATATGTATATATATGATATATATATCATATATATGTATATATATGATATATATATCTCATCCATGAAAGAATACAACTGCCAGCTTTAGTCAGAACTAAATAGGAAGAACACAATTTTAAATGTATTTCTTTATGCCTAATGATTACAAAAATAACTAAAATATTCTGGAGGTTGTAGCCATGGAGATAGTGTTACCTCTGAGATAGAGAACTGACTTTGTTGGTGATATAGAACCAGACAGAATGAAGATGGAAATGAATGACCTTAATTAGAATCTAGACATTCACTGTTTATCTTCTTTCCCTTCAAATGAACCTGTAACAGGTTAGGAGCACAAAGGGCCTGAAGCAGAGGGCGGTTTCCACTCTAGTAAGCCAGAAAGAAAGCTCAGTCCTATCAGAAGTCACAGGAAGTGACCCCGCCAGAGTCCTCAGGTGACATGAAACCCAAGCAGTCTCATGTCACCTATCCATCAGAGTTGTCAGAGTCAGCAGGTGACTTGAACTTTCCTTGTGCTCCCTCATCCTCAGATCCAGAATTCTTTTTGTTTGTTTTATGAGACAGGGCTTCTCCATAGACCTTGAATGCAGAGATTCACCTGCCTCTTCTGCTCTAGATTACGGGGGTTAAAGGCATGAGCTACCACACCTGGTAATTGAGAGTTTAAACTGTATTTTAAGTAAGTAAAGTGATAGCCAGGGTTGTAGCCCTGGTGGGTTTCATGGTGTGAAGAGGGAATTGAGGTGGGGAGCCCTGGCTTGGTCAGACACAGCCTCCAGTGGGCAGAAGACCCAAGTGCATGAGGACAGTGTGCGGAGAAGAGCCAGGATTCCCATAATTCTCCACTCAGATTACATATTTAAAAAATAATTGGGATTCATTTTAAGAGTATATTTTATTTAACCAAAATGTATCTAACAGCGTTATTATTTTAACATGGTGCTGTTTAGAAAAATCATTATGGGAATCTTTTGATAAAATTCTAAATATTTTCGACTTAGCATATATTTTATGACACAATCTAATTTGTGCTAGCCACATTTCAGGTGACATATGTGACAAAATTGGAACTAAGAAGTAGTGAGAAGCACAACTTAACCAGTCCTGGAAGCAGTCCCCTCTGTCCATCACTCTGTGAGATGATACATGCATGTATTAGTTAAGATTGTAGGGTTGCCCCTCTTTTCAGTTGATAGTATTCTATGGGTAGCAAATGCCCTAAACACCCTAACCACCAGCAGTAACATAAAGTCTTTCCTTTGTGAGGTTAGTTACAACATAAGGAGTGTTATTACCCAATGTCCTTTCTGGATTCTCCCAGGCATGGTCCTCTCCCTGGTCCTCTTTTGTGCTTCTAGTATGATCCCTAGAACAGGAACCACAGCTATGATCTTTGACCCTTTCTATGTCAGGAACCATTGAATATTCTGTTGACAACATCTTGTTTAATTTCTGCATTTACAATAGCATGAGGTAGTCCTATAGGAATTATTTTGGTCCATTTATGCAGATTTACCCAAAACAAAACAAAACTCATAAACTTGGCAGCTGATCAACAACAAATCCATGCCTTACAGTTCCAGAAGCTAAGAGGTCAAAGACTGGGAGGGAGGAAGCAGGCCTATTTGTCTGGCACTCAGGAGGCCAATGCCAGTATAGAAAGAGTTCAAGGTCTCAAAGTAGGTGGCTGAGCAGCTGCCTGAACCGGCATGTCGCTCTCTGAAGAGAGAGGAGAGTTCTTACCATCATGATGCAGTAGTTTGAACAGAGCATGTGGTTCACTCAATGGCTGAATTATCAACCAACCAACCAACCAACCAACCAACCAACCAACCAACCAACCAATCAGTCAACAAACCAACCCAAGTAAGTGGCTGTTCAGGCTAAGTACCTTGCGTAAGCACAAGGTCAATGCCTGGATATAACTGAGCCAAGGTTTCTTCACCCAGGCTTTCCTGCCATGCTCTGTGAGTACCATTTGGTTGGCACTTGCTAAACGTCACCTCGAATGGTTGCTGGCAATTGCCTTGTGTATGACTCCTCTCTCCAATCATGTCACTGTTGGGTGCCACAGCTTGCTCCCCTCCCCCAGCTTCCCTAGTAACCAGAATAATTTATTATTCACAATTATTGGCTCAGTCGATTCTGGCCCCTGGTTTCCTTTCTGCTTACACCTGTGCCCTGGTTTTATTTTTACAGTGCTCCCTTTGTTCTAAAAGTATTCCAATTTGGATGATAAATTATGCATCATGTTTATCGCATAGACAAGCCTTCAGCTTGGCCTGCTCAGCTATGCCCTGTTAGCTACACCCGGAACAGCTGCCTTTGGGAAACAATGGACCTGGCAGCCATCGGTCCTGATGCCCAATGCTGGAACACAGAGAACTTTCTCATGAAGCACACTACCCAGGATGCATCTCTCCTGGCTCTTGGCTCTACCCTCCCCCCAGCCTCTTCCCTTCTATCCAAATCTCTCCTTCCTTCATTGATCCCCAGCTGCTCCTGCCAGCTGCAGCCTACATCCTCAGGTTCACCTGCAGAAACGGAAAAGTCAGGGGACTTTATGACAACATCGCTCCTTCTGTCTAGCTGTCATTCTAGGCCCAAATCCTTTTTCGATGAATGATTAACACCCTCTGTACACAGAACAGAAGAATTACCCTTTTGGGGTTAGGTACTTACCTTTGGCCGTTGTGGTATTTGCGAACTTGCATGTATGGTGACTCAGGACATAAAGTAAAACTTTCTTTCACCAGTGAAAATGTATGGCGGCGGTGACAGGTTCTCTAAGGTCAGATGATACTATGAGCTCAGACAGTACAACCGATATGATGGGTAAAAGCAAAGCAAAGCAAAACAAAACAAAACAAACCAACCAACCTAACAACAACAAAACAAAACAAAACAAAACAAAACAAAAAAACCCAATCCCCAAACACACTACGTGTATTGGTTTTTAACAGTAGGAACCTACCAGACTTCAAATATCAGAAAATTCAGTTTCAAGATCCTTTAGTTTGAGGATTTTATAGAAAATCTGGCCCACTGTTTGAATGAAGGGACTTGGAGGGAAATAGCCTCGTAGGTGGTAAATGTAGAAGAGGCCTCCAATCAGTACAGCTGGGGCCACCCTGATCGCTTCCAGGAGTAGGATAGGCGTGGTTCCCAGCAGCACCGGACTGTACTGGGGTCCTGTTAAGTAGCGCCACTGTGAGGCAGTGAGCAGCAAGGGCACCCTAGAGCTGTAAAACCTCATGGGCAGGGAATTGAGAAACAACTGGAGGGTCCTAAATAACAAAGACACTCAAAGAGAGAGCCACTACTGCCTTTGATTGTGCTGACCTCTGTGGCCTAATTTATTGAGCTAACCCCCACATATACGGGGTTATTTCTTCCGGACTCAGACACTGACATGCCCGCTAATATGGCGTACGGGATTTCTACAGAATTAACTAAAAAAAGAAGGATGCAACTTTCTTTGTGCCCCGTTTGTAGTATGCTTCTTCAATGTGCACCATACGAGAGTTACACTGAAGGAGGCTTCCTATTAAGAATCTAGCTCAATACACGTGGAGCGTTTTGTTTCAGGATTATTAAATTTATCTCATTAGAATTTCTCCCATGCAATAAAGGATTGGTGCTGATTCAACCTGGTAATAAATTAGCCTACAGTTCACAGCTGTCTTTCCAATAAAGGTGCCTCTGGTAGTTTCTGGAAAGATCAGCACAGTGAGAGGCAATGGCAGCTCCATCTCTTAGTGTCTGTCTTTTCCTTCGGATCATGAACAACCTCTTTCCAATAAGCCAAAGTCATTTGATGCCAGAGCCCCTTTCCTATCCCCATTTCCTGCTGGTTCCATGTCAATATTTACACATCACTGTTTACCTGAGATGGCCTTCAGAGCCCGTCCACAGGCTCTCATCAAACAGGACGGCATTTTCCTCTTTTCCATGATTCATCCCATCTCTGATAACATTTCCATTTCAACAGGAAAAGCTACTTTCCAAAGTCAAAAGCCAGTCTCCGTTTTACCAAGAGAACAGACTGATCATTCAAGGTGCCACACGGAGCTGCAAGACTCCCGACCAAAGATGCTGGTCCCTTTGTCGTCACTGCTTAACTTTTAGAATCTCTCTGGAAGTGAGTCTGGCTCCTGCCCTGACCTCTCTCTCACAGGACTGTCAGAGCTCACCTGCAGCCTCCTTTCCCAGAGAACGAGCAAGCGCAGAGGAGACTGGGAAGAAGAGGCTGTTTTCCTCCCATGCCTGATAAAACACCGAGTCCCAAATCATTCTTATGTCAGGTTTACACTTGTCTTCTTTCTCTATGACTCCACTTCTAAATGGTCCCCAGGCTTAATTTTTTTTAATTTTTAAAATATACATTTTCTTTTTTGAGATTAGCATAACATCATTTTCCTCTTTCCCCTTTCCCCCTTCAACTTCTCCCAATTCAAATTCATGACCTGTCAATCTCAATCTCTCTCTCTCGCTCTCGCTCTCGCTCTCGCTCTCGCTCTCGCTCTCGCTCATTCCATAGCATATTACTTGCATGTATATGTTTTCAGGGCTTACTCTTTAAGACAGGATCTCAGTATAGCTGTGAATTTGCTATGTAGACCAGGGTGGCCTCAAACTCAGAACTATCCTCCTGCCTCTGGCTCCTGAGTTCTGGGATTGAAAACGTGCACCACCACACCCCAGAAAACCTTTATTATACTGTTTTCCCTTCTCTCATCACTGATTGGCCTTGCCTTCATTGACAGGCAGGCCCACCTGGGACACGGCAGGCCTGCAGCGTGCTCTGGGCAGGCCCACCTGGGACACGGCAGGCCTGCAGTGTGCTCCGGGCAAGCAAATGTGATCTGGCCTCTATTCTGAAACTTTCCTCATTTCCAAACCAGCAACTCTCACAGCTACCAGAGCAGATTTCAGAAACTCCTCTCTGCTCACAGGCAGTTAACTCAGCACTGTGTTCAAGGTCAAGCCGACCTTGTCAGTGGCTTTCCAATCTGGCCTGACTTGCCTTTCAAAGCATTTAAAGGTCTCACCATTCACTCCTGCCCCAACTGTAGAGGAACAGACTTCGTAGGTAGGCCCCAGGTCCCCCACCTCTGGTGCTTCGGTCTACCCTGTCCCTGACACTAACTCCCAAGGAAGCCTGCAACATGGCAAATTGTCACTGAGCAGCTTGTTCTAGGTGTCAAATATGGCCTTGAGCACTTTTTGTGACATTCCACTCTCTTTGGAAGGCATTAACCCACTTAGTAGCAGGAAGAGCCAGCTTTAGCCCCAAGCCTGCACCAAGCACCGGGTACCCTGACTCACCTGCACCACGACATTGGTTTCCCTCAGTTGTCTCTCTTTTGTGCATGCACCTGCTGCGTCTTGGACTGCAACACCACAGACTCATTGCATGGATACAGATGTATGGGCCTTCATGAGACTGTGAACTCCACAGTATGAGTGGTTTGTATGCAACCATGTCCAGCACAGCACTGACAAACAGGGTGTGCAGTTATTATTTTGCAATTTGAATGTACACATCCAAGAGATGCAACTGGAAGAGTTCAATCTAACCCTGAACCCAAGAGTTCAGTCCCATGTAGCTCTCAGGGTTCCTTTACTAGAAAGTACAATTCCATTGGCTCCAGTGGCTATGAGGGAAGCCACACCTCTATCTCTGTCTCTACAGATTAATACTTGTAGCACACTTACAGGAATCTGGCATAGTATTTATAGCAACCATCTGCAAGTCAGTCAGCCAAACACACCGGCAGCAACCTCCCACATCTTCGACAACACCATTGCTTAATCTGAAACGCTTCTTAGAAGACAAAGAAGCATTCATAAAATGAAACAGTAGTGAATACTACTTGATAATAAGAAAGGTTTACAGCCACATGTCTAGTGGATTTACACGATACTCCCATGCCAATGGCTGGGAGCAGTTTTCACAAAGATGCTCTCTGAAGCCTATGCCTGAGCTGGAGAGGTCCTCAGTGTGTTTAAAGACAAGGGTACCAAGGGAGAGAGGAGAGAAAAGAATAAAAGAAAGAAGAGGGAATAGAGGTGGAGGAGGAAGAGAAAGGGGAGGGAGAGGAGGAGGAAGGGAAAGGGGAAGAGGAAAAGAAGAGAAAAAAGAAGTAGGGAGAGGAGGGAGAAGAAGGGGGAGTGAGAGGGAGAAGAAATGGGAGGAAGGCATAGGTTGGGAGGAGGGAGAGAGACTGCCCTGAATCTCTCTATGCATAGCATAGAAGGGGACATCATCAGCAACAAAAGGGAGACATGATGCTGTATTATTTTCTGGAGACATTCACCTGAACTGCAGGAAGCTCTCAAGAGCCAATGGAGCCTTGTCTGCCTTGTGGTGGGGAGGCGATGCTGCCTTTCTTCTCTTGCTTCCATCCAATCACATGACAAAGGGTTCAGGAAGCCAAAGTTCTAAAGCTATACAGATATCCCCAGAGATGACCCCTCCCGCTCCAAACAAATAAGTAAATAAGCAGCACGTGGATTTCAAGTGGGCTGTCCAGATCGACAGCCATTCCACATAACAAATGCTAATGTCGAGCTGGTATCAGAGCTTCCCCAAGGTGAGAGAAATGTACCATTGATGGGGGCAGGCTGGGGGTGAGCTGGGCCACATTCCTGTAGAAGTAAGACTAGTATTGCTCTCCCTTGGAATTCAGCTAAGGGCTGATTCCACACCTGATTTCTGATGCAAGAAAAATTTCCCAAGGTGCCACCCGATTCCCAGGGGTGGCTCAAATCAAGAAGGTAGCCAATTGCAGAGCCAGACTGTGGCTATAGCTGAGCCCCCTGAGACTGGTTTTGAGGAGATGTCCCAAGGGATATTGAGTGACATCACACAGTTCGGGCATTGAAACAGGACAGCTCATCCCAGCTCTCCACGCAGAACCCTGGCTATTGACAATCTGTCACGCCAAGAACACATAGCCTGAATTTTCCACTCCTCCCACACAGCTTGGCTGGCCTGGCTAGCAACGGGTTTTATTTTTACAATGATTATCACCCTGCAGCATTACCTCCTGGCCAGGGGGCTCAGAGGCAGCTGGAAACAAGAGGCAGCTGGGAGCCCAGCAGAGCTGCGGCCAGGGCTCAGAGCCTCCTGCACTGGGAAGGAGGAGAGCACTGGCCAGAGGCCATGCTGCTGACTATTCTGGGAAAGACAGATGATGACACAAAGGGGCAGGGATCTCATTCATCCTAGGGGCAATGCACACTGACCTTTGCTTGGGAGCAGCTGAGGTTCCTGGTCCAGCTGCCTATCTTAACCAGCAATGACTTGCTCATTTGGAGACACGGAAAAAGTGCCCAAAACATGAGTGAACTTCCAGGATGTGGAGCACTGGTTGCTTCTTTCAAGTGCACAGAGCAGCAAACTTTATACTGAGTTCTCACAGGAGGGGGGCAGCGCTCTGTCCTGGGACAGGCATCTCACTTGGCATTAGCAGCATTTCAAGTCAAATGGGTCCTGATGCCCTGCAACGTTTGCACTCATGAGTATGAAAGCCATCACCCACTTATCCTCCTGCTTTGCCTTACTTCTTTCCCAGCTTGGCCTTTTTTCAAAGGCACCACGGAGATAAGCCCAGGGCTAGGCCAGGGCACATCGCCATAAATCTCGGTTAGCAGGGAACAAACGCACAGAGTCTTCCCTTTATAGCTCCAGGCCTGGCGCTGGGTCTCCTTCCTCCTGGGAGCTGTGAGAATTTTGAACAGCTGTTGGATTCAGGGGAGGGATGCCTTACTTCCTGCCAAAGGCTCCCTTCTTGGTGCCTTGGGAGCAGGGGGACACATCTTCCAGGCTTACTGCTACCTGGGGGGAGGAGAGGTCAGAGATCCCAGTTCCCACGAAGCGTGATGAGTGAGAAGAATGTGGGGCACCCCGAATGCCTTCTAGTTTCCAAAATTAGGTCAGCAGATTTGCCAGAGCAGGAGCCTTGTCTCTGGGTGCTCTAATGAGGCAGGCGGTCAGCTCATGCAGTGTACCTCTCTTACGGGTGTCCCAGCTTAGATTGAAGGCATGTGGAAGCCACTATGAAGGACCTCTCTCTGACATTGAGACCCCAAGCCGTTTACTCCTGGGGCGTTTACACTAAGGATTGAATCATGTTTGTATTGAGCATTATAATAAAAACTCCCCACGAAATCACTTGGATGAAAATACATTAAGCAAATCTCCCAATCACAAATATTGATTGAGAACTTAAAATGGCCAGTAGAATACAAAACACACCTTGGTCTTTAGACTTTATTGTTCAGTCAGACGTGACAGAGATGTTTAACGAGGTGGCCGAGCAGGGACTTACTTATTCCCCAATGGTCACTCTGCGCCCTTTTTACTCTCTCTCTCTCTCTCTCTCTCTCTCTCTCTCTCTCTCTCCCCCCTTCCCTCTCCCTATCTCCCGAAACACTCTGCCTCTTGATACAGTTCCCATCTTGACTGTTTTCACCTTGCAGGCACATGTAGATATTAATATGCCTGATACACACTGACCAGTCAACTTAGCCTTATGGGTGAGCCACAGGTCCCAGTGAGAGATTGTCTCATAAAACAAGGTAGACGGCTTCTGAAAATGACACCTGAGATTATCCTCTGGCCTCTGCAAACACACATGCACACACACACACACACACACACACACACATACACACTGAGTTGAGAGCCCTTTGGTAGGTGTTCAAGTGAACAATCTTGGGAAGGATCAGCTGTGACCCTGGAATTGGGGATTGGGTTTAAAGCTGGATCTAAGCTGGCAAGTACCATTTGAAGCCGTAAGAGTCAGTGAATGGGCTGCAGTTACTGGGGCAACGAATGTATGTGGTCAGAAAAGAAGTACCATGATGTTCTGTGTCCCTCAACTATTTCAAGAGCAAGGGTGTGCTAGTAGGAAAGCAAAGATGTCATTATGAAGCTAAGAGGACAGCCACTCAAAGGAGGGGTAGCCTCTACCAAGCACTGCTCTTGGTCCTAGTTGCTGGTAAATGCCACTGTGTGGTAGTATCACCACACATGGCCATGGTGACACTAAGAACAAAAGTGCCACTGGAGAAGTGGGCTTACGAGCAAACGCGAGGAACAGAGAAGGAGGCAGTACGTGTGCACCCACGTCCCAGGTCACTTCCCATTGCTGGGTTTGACATCATGGCAAAAGGCAACTGGGGGAGGGAAGGGCTTTCTTGGCTTACCCATCCCCACCACAGTCCATCCCTGGGAGAAACGGAGGCAAAGGCTCATGAAGAGGGGTGTGGAGCAGAGGCGGTGGAAGAACACTGCTTACCCTGGCTCACTCAACCTGTCTCCATAGACCATCCAGGACCACCTGCCATGAGGTGGCCCCTCCCAGAGTGGCTGGACCCTCCTACCCATCAATCAAGACAATACCCACAGGCTTTCCTACTGGCCAATCAGATGTTGACATTTTCTCATTTGATGCTCCCCCATTGGACTCCAGCCCTTGTCAAACTGACACAAATCAAACCCACTCAAGAAGACCTTTGTGCTAAAGGGGTGCGGGAGGAGAGTGTCACTGACAGGGAAGGAGGGTCCAGAGAAAGGCTTTGGGCTTGAACTTGAAAGGATTTCTTCCAGCATATTAATACAACTATTAGCTGCCATTTCTGGAGTACTCCACTGTGGCAGGTGCTTTACATGTGACACTCTAATCTCAATGGCTTTGCAGAGTAGATGCTAATGCCACTGTGGGAGGAAATAGATGTTAAGAGAAAGTGAGAAATGTTACAAAGGCAGCCAGGAAGTGGCTGCACCACAGTTTAAAGCCATGTTGTTCTGACAAGTGGATTACCCCATGATGGAGCACGCCTCCTGCAGAAAGTCCAGCAGAGGGAGGGGGTGGGTATAGCCGAGTGGGAACCATCGAGATCAGACGGCAGGAGCTCTTAGTCGTGTGGAGAACTGTGTAAGGACGCTGTACCCTGACCTACTTCCGGCGTTAAAGACTAAGGTACCAAACGCAGTCTCTTTACAGGCGCGTCTCTGCACAGCGTTCCATGCCCACAGAACTTACATCCCACTCAAGAGGACGGCCGCCAGCACATCCTAGCTCCAGGCTGGGCAAGAAAGAAGGTGGTTAAAGTCCCAGCCTTCCCTACTAGGACACTGTATGGATCCAACGAGCACCAGAAACATTGGCTGCTCTCACAGTTGCTACACTGTACTGAAGGGGACAGTATTTGGAAATGGGGTGCTGGCAAAGGCCAGCTGCCGTTCTTGGCAGTGAGAGCTACTGGGGCCTATAGCTCTTCTCAAAGCCCAATGCACACAATAATCCAGATGGATAAAAACTGGTGAGGCTTCAAGATTACAGATTCCTTTAAAGAGTGTGTATGGATACCACTCCCCCCCCAGGGAAAAGTAAGATGCTTCTAGAAACTTCTTTCATGTTCAGAGTGGGATTTAATTATAGGGTTTGTAGGAGCTCTTATAATGAGAAGTAGGGTAAGCATCTGGCAAGGAACTGGACACAAGGAGAAAGGTTTTCTAAACCCAGCCCTAGGATGAATATACCAACTCCCACATACCAATAAGATGAAAATACCAATTCAAGCTAGGCGGTGGTGGTGCATGCCTTTAATCCCAGCACTCAGGAGGCAGAGGCAGGTGGATTTCTATGAGTTCAAGGCCAGCCTGGAAGCCTGGTCTAGAGAGCAGGTTCTAGGCCAGCCAGGGCTACACACTGAAAAGCAACCCTGTCTTGGCAAAGAAAGAAAGGAAAGATGAGTGGGGAGGGAGAGTGAGAGTGAGAGTGAGAGTGAGAGTGAGAGTGAGAGGGAGAGGGAGAGGGAGAGGGAGAG